AGACGGTCCTAAAGTCTTCCCAGGTCACATGATAAGAGAGCCAATTCATTGGCATGAATGGGACTTTGTACATGCTTGGAAGACCTCTGGGTCAACCCTGAGAGTTTCTACAGTGGTTTTCCAGAGGCCATACAGCATGGATCTGCCGGGATCAGGAGAAGGTGAATATATGAATTTGGATGTAAGACAAGTAATTATAAAATGAAAGATATGAGGTCATACAGCATGGATCTGCCAGGACCAAGAGCAGGTGAATATATGAACTTGGGTGTGAGGCAGGTAATTATAAAATGAAAGATATGAGGTCATACAGCATGGATCTGCCAAGACCAAGAGCAGGTGAATATATGAACTTGGGTGTGAGGCAGGTAATTATGAAATGAAAGATATGAGGCCATACAGTATGGATCTGCCAGGATCAGGAGAAGGTGAATATATGAACTTGGGTGTGAGGCAGGTAATTATAAAATGAAAGATATGATGTCATCCAGCATGGATCTGCCAGGACCAAGAGGGGGTGAATATAAGAATTTGGATGTGAGGCAGGTAATTAAAAAATGAAAGATATGAGGCCATCCAGCATGGATCTGCCAGGATCAGGAGCAGGTGAATATAAGAACTTGGGTATGAGGCAGTTAATTACACAATTAAAGATATCTTTTAAACTGAAACTCCATTCAAAACATTTTATGGAGGTAGAATGGGAAAGGGTGAGAACCAATGTGAAATTGCCCCATTGGACAGATTTGTACTACTTCCATTCCTGGTGATGTGGTTCCTCAAGGAGAGTAAGGGACGAAAAATTGGGAAATTTCTTAAAACAAAAATCTTCAGTGGATTTGATGACTTGATGAATGTTGTTTAAAAGTACAGTATTTTCTGGCGTATAAGACTACTTTTTATACTTAAAAATATACCCCAAAAATTGGGGGTCGTCTTATACGCGGGGTATAAAATGTGAACCTTGAGTTTGTTTGGGTCAAGCTGGCTGGATGTGTGGTAACACTGTACATACAGTATACTGTGCTGAGCCAAGCTGGCTCTAAACAAATGTCCCTATGACAGATTAATCTGTCAGCCCGCTGGATGTGTGGTATATACAGTATACTGCGCTGAGCCAAGCGGTTTCACAACGTACCGGTACGTCCCTACTGTAATCAGCACGCTGGATGCGTGTATGTACGGTAGCTGCAGCTACATACAGTATACAGTGGGCCAATCACGGCTAGTGATGTATTCTACTAATGAATACAAAGCCTGCTTGGATAAGCTGAGTCAGAGAGGTGGGCTGATGATGTCACAACCTCAGCCAATCCAAGCAGACTTTGTATTCATTAGTAGAATACATCGCTCGCCGTGATTGGCCCAGCATATACTGTATGTAGCCTCAGCTACCGTACATAAACACACCCAGCGGGCTGATTACAGTAGGGACGTACCGGTACGTTTTGAAACAGCTTGGCTCAGTATACTGTATATACCGCACATCCAGCGGGCTGACAGATTAATCTGTCATAGGGACATTTGTTTTGAGCCAGCTTGGCTCAGCGCGGTACACTGTATGTACATTACTGCACATCCAGCGGGCTGTATATTTACTGTATACTGTATGTAGCCGAAGCTACCGTAGTACCGCACAACCATTTGATTTGGAATTTGATCCATATGATGACTGTCTTACAAATGTATCACAAGATGTCATTCATGAACTTATGATGTCAGAGGATGAACATGAGGATTTTGAAGAATTTTAAGTACCGGTAAGTCATAACCATTTCAATTAAAAAATCTGATGTTTTTAAATGGCGTTGCCTCGGAAGGGGGGTAGTCTTATACAGCGAGTATAGCCCAAAACCTATGTTTTAACTGGAAAATTAGGGGGTCGTCTTATACACCCAGTCGCCTTATACGCCGGAAAATACGGGTAGTTCTAAATTTTGTTTGCTTTTAACATTTAGTTTGAATGGACTTGACCAAATGCAAACCGCATACACTGTTAGAAATGAATGTGTTAAAAAAAAATTTCCATCTAGCTCTTTTGAATTTTCTAGAAAACGAATGTCGATTTGACCCCACTAGTGATTAAAAAATCAAATGAACAGACCTAAAAATTCAACCTGCTAAAACGTAACCCCTGATGAACCCCTAGATATTGATTACTAACCCTACTCAACTCCTTTCTCCATGCGTAGTAGTCTTTTTTTGTGCATTTGTACACCCATTTTTGAATTTATGTTTGAATTTGTAGCACAATATTTACATTTTTTAAATTTTTTTTGTATTTACTGTATACATTTTACACTTTACCACACATTTTGTGCTTTGTGGCAAGACACTTGTAACAAATTGCAAAAAAAAAAAAGTTGTACACATCACTACAGTAATACTGGTTGCCTTAAAACTTTAATTAGCCAAATTGGAAACTTTCTTTACTTTATTGCATTTACAGTAAATGTTAAAAAAACTCAATATACCTTTCACTTCGAACTCATAATTACTTGATTGATGCAATTGCTGAGTAAGTCTATAGCTGAAATGTGAAATGTCCTATGGGGTCAAGTGGTTTAAAAAGGGTAACAGTTTTTACCTAGTAACTACGGACCTGTAACTTCAAGAAAGTAATAATATAATAGGTGATAGTCATTTTGGGTTTAAGAAAAATAAAGGATGAGTTAAGGGATGGTACATTGTAAGTTAACCAGGCTCTACTGCTATCAATCTAATGCCAGCCATTGATGGTGCGATTTTCTTTTGTGCAACCGCAGGCTTCAGGAAAGATAATCACTTGATTCCCCAATCAACACAGTCAGTATTAATGGGGGAATTAAAAAAAAAAATGTAAAAGATTGCGTTGCCCATTGGTCCTCAAAGATTAAAAAAAATAAAAAGATTGTGTGGATCATTGGTCCTAAAAAAGTAAAAAAGATTGTGTTGCCCATTGACCCTCAAAGATAAACCATTAAAAATATTGTGTTGTCCATTTGTCCTGAGAGATTAAAAAAAAAAAAAGTGTTGTCTATTGATCCTCAAAGATGAAAAAAAATAAAAATAAAAATATTGTGTTGTCCATTGGTCCTCAAAGATAAAAAAAAATTAAAAGATTGTGTGGATCATTGGTCCTAAAAAAATAAAAAAGACTGTGTTGCCCATTGACCCTCAAAGATAAACCATTAAAAATATTGTGTTGTCCATTTGTCCTGAGAGATTAAAAAAAAAAAAAAGATTGTGTTGTCCATTGATCCTCAAACATAAAAAAAAAATAAATAAAAATATTGTGTTGTCCATTGGTCCTCAAAGATAGAAAAAAATTAAAGATTGTGCTTGTTGCCTATAGAAACCCATAATATTCCAGCGTTGCATTTTATTTTGCAAGAAGATAAACTGTCTAATTGCTATCGGAAGCATAGACCTCCTTTTCCTCTGATTTTTTTCTTTTTTTTACTTTTTCTTCCTGTTATGTTTCATAAATATGGACAAAGTTGCTGGTCAATGCTTAGCCAATCTTTAACATTTGGTATGATGCTTTTTGCATGGTATAAACTATGCCAGACTGATTGGAGTAGGTCATAGAACTCCTGGTAATCCCGTACCCAATAATCAAATTATATATTTAAATATTTTTCAACCAAATGGGATTAAACTAATGATATCGTTTCTTTGGCCTGTGAAAATCCAAGGGAGGAGTATAAAATCCTTTTAGAACCAACTGCAGTAGGATAAATCTATGTTTAAGCCTTGGTGTAACTTACTACTTATTTCAGGGGAGTTAAGAAGATAAGGGTGGAAAGGTCCCCCCTCCACTTGATATCTTATATATCTGACACACTTCATGGACATTCATCTTCTATCCTCTAGCCAGATTCTTTGTCAAGAATTTTTCTCCATGAACTTATGTAAGTGTGATCTTCATGCTATACGTATTATTTTTTTTTATTATATTTGTAATGCATTTGTCTATGTTTTGTAATTAATAATCACATTCTACCCAATTATTCTACTTTATTTTGAAAAAAAAAGTTAGTTTAAATCATTTAAATTATTTAAATTCATCATAGGTTTTGAAATATAAATGTATTTAAATTTTTATGTCCCATGCATTGTAAAAAAAAAAGTATACTAAATCATAATATGAATAAGTCTGAATCAAGATTTCTTTTCCTTACCAATTAAATATTTTTTTGAGTAACATGCATATCATAGTTAAAACATTTTTTTTTCTAAAAAAAAAAATATCAATCTATCTAATTATCTATAGAAAATTCAAAATGCAATCATTCTAAATGACTAATTTTCTTTCAAATTTTAACATAACTATTTATTTTTTGTATGCTGTATAATATTATTTTTATATTTGTATTATCTTAACAGTTTTCTGATTGGGAAGGTAAATTAAAACATAATCAAGTAAATCAGATTCAATTGTTTCAGTAAAAGAAATGTAGCTAAACATTTTAAGAAAAAAAAATATTTTAATAACCTGAATCATTTTGCTTATGTTTTCTTTCATACATTAAGTTAAAATATTTTTGGAGGTTTATAGAACAACCTGAAAATACTAAACACGCATAAAGTTTATTAGAAAGAAAATAATAGCTCTGTATTTGCTAACGCATTTATTACCTCACTATTGCTTTTGCTTGTCATTGCTTGACTATTTCGTTTATACGTACATGTATAATATTTCACTAATTTATGTTGGCATTTTTAATTTTTTTTCATTGTTGTTGACTAAATTCTTGTCAGATTGTATGTCAAATAATTAATCATGTATAAATCCAAAGCTTTTGTACGAAATATTAAAACATATAAAAATTGTTTTTTAGCACAATTTCAAACGGTAAAAATGTGTGTTGTTATTTTTATAATATATTTAGGGTTTTTTTTTTTTATTTATTCAATGTCTTGTATTTTACTATGGGTTTTTGAAGTCAAAGCAATGTAGATTTTTATGTTTAAAATGATACCTTTATTTACTGAAAATCGTTATTGCAGGAATTATAATGCACTGTGGTTGTGCACCCAGCTCATATTGGATACCAGGTAAGGCATTGAGAAATGACTCATATTAATATTTGTATTTTTCTTGTTTTTTTTTTTTTCTTCTATTTTTCTTCCCAAAATTGCTTTCAATGACCGTAAGCACACTTCAGCTTTTTTTTTTTTCATTGGCCATGATATACTATAAGGCTGATGTATTAAAACTTGCATTATGAAGTGTGTCTCACCAATAGTAACCAAACAAATTACAGCCCAACTGCCATTTTTTAGTAAAGCTTGAAAAATACAAGCACATATTTAACTTGTTTTTACTAACAGAGGGCTTGATTGACTATAGGGGTAGGGGCTCTTTTCTTAGGGAATTGAAAGCTCACTTAACCTCCTTGGCGGTATGATTTTTTACGATTTTTTGTGCTGAAAGCGGTACCATTTTTTTGCATGGAAATATGTAGTTTTTTATTGTAGGCCTGTAATTTTTAGGAATAACTCACTGAAATCTGTACGAACAAGAGTCTAGTAAACATTCTGGATATGATAAAACTTGAAACACGAAATCATAAATTATAATTTAATAAATAATCATAAAAAAATAATAATAATAAATTTAATTCAATAATATAATCAAACCAAAAACACTGAAATTTGAAATACAGAGGCAAATTCACACATCACTGAGCAAAGTCGCAAAATCGTTTTCAGTGTCTGATGATGAATTTCCCCCACGAATCATTATCACTCAATTCTGTAAGTAGTTCTGATTTACTATCGCTGTTCTCTAGCTGGTCTAAACCCGCTTTTGACCTAAAGGGACGCTTTTTGGACGCCATGGATGTTTCTCAGTTTCCAGGCAGAAAGAACAGTAAAAATGCAGGCAGGGCACAGGACAAAGCACTCGGGACAAAATGTATGTGAAATGCATTGAAACAGCAATGACAGTAAAAATGACATTTTTTAAAAATTTCAAATTTGCCGCCAGATCCGGTGCCCGTACGTCCCGACGTCACAGGGACCGGAACACAGAAGCCAGATGCCGGCATCGGCCGGAGGAGATGGCCGGGGATGCTGCAGGGGACACATCGCGGGAGCGCAGGACAAGGTAAGTGCTGCAGGGACCCCCTGAGCAACGCCGCATGGTAAGCCCGAGTGGGGTTACCGCTCTTGGTATTGAAATTTTACCCCGAGCTATACTCGGGAATACCGCTAAGGAGGTTAATTTAGTAAATAAAGCAAAGCTGTGCATGTTTTAAAATGCCAAGTGTGACAAATTTTTATTTTGTTTTAATTTTCTTTTTTTTTTCATTTTTAAGGGATTTCAGGTTGTACATTTAACTTAGGTAGCAGTAGCTGGTCACATTCAGACACTTTGTGTAGAGATTGAATTAAGGTGACTTAGGCTGGCCATACATTATACAATTTTCATGAGATTTTTGGTTTAGATTTACCAAAAACCAAATAATAGGAGGTCAAACCTAAACAACATTTTCAATTGTATCCAATTTGGCAGGCTCTTGCACTACATAGTTGAAGGTAAATCTAAAGGAAATTGGGCAGAAATTTGACAGAAAATTGTATAGTGTATGTCCAGCCTAAGTGTTGCTATCAGTGCTGGGGTATATTCAGCAAGATATGCAGCAAAAAGTCTTCAGTATTGCCTTTAGATTGTAAGCTCCAGGAGCCGGCCCTCCTATTCCTTCCAAAATAAACTGTATTGTCCCCCTTTATATTGTAAAGTGCTGTGTAAACTGTTGGCACTATAGAAATCCTGAATAATAATAATCATGCTCATCTCCAGGACTTCTCCAGAGCTTCCCCCATCCTCTGGAACTCTCTACCCCAATTTATCAGACTATCGCCTACTCTGCTCACTTTTAGGCGATCTCTGAAAGCCTATCTCTTCAGGGAAGCCTATCCTGCCCTCAGCTAATAATGGAATCTTCTATTCCTCCTACCAGTCCATCCCCCACAGTTACTACCTTTTGTACCACTAGCCCCTCCCTTCTAGATTGTAAGCTCCAAGGAGCAGGGCCCTCCTAATCCTCTTGTATTGAACTGTATTGTTGCTGTATTGTCTCCCGTTATATTGTAAAGCGCTGAACAAACTGTTGATGCTATATAAATCCTGTATAATAAATCCTGTATAATAATAATAATAATAATAATAATAATAATAATAATAAAAGATTACAGCCCAACTGCCATTTTCTAGTACATTGTGAAAAATATAAGCATGCATTTAGCTTGCTCTTACACAGGCCATACATGGGTCGAATTCCGAACGATTTTTTGTCCAAAAATCGAAAACGTTGTTCGCTCGGTAATCCGACGGTGCCGTCAATGATTTTGAAAATCGGCCGACCAAGTTATAAAGTTCACCCCATATAACAGGCGAAACTTCTGTTCCTTCCAGGTCACGGCTCATGCGCATATTCTTTTTGGAAAAACAATCGTACGATTTGACCATTGTTGAGTTGAAAATTGGTCGTTTTTCATGAATTTTCCAACATGCCCGATCACCAAAGAGGGGAGGAACCAGGAAAATTCGGCCGGTGCCATTGACCCACTAACAGCGAAAATCGTCCGATTATTCTTAGGTCCGATTTTCGGACGAAAAATCGGTCGAATTTCGACCCGTGTATGGCCAGCATTACTGACAGTAGGGTTGGTTTACTATAGGAGTTGAGGATCTTTACTTAGGAAAGTGAAAGTTTACTCAACTTAGTAACTAAAGTATTTATTTATTTCAGGTACTTATATAGCGTCTTCAATTTACGCAGCACTTTACATATATATTGTACATTCACATCAGTCCCTAACCCTCAAGGGGTGTACAATCTAAGGTCCGTAACTTACATTCATACATACACATACTAGGGACAATTTAGACAGGAGCCAATTAACCTATCAGCATATCCTTGGAGTGTGGGAGGAAACTGGAGTACCTGAAGGAAACCCACGCAGGCACAGGGAGAACATGCAAACTCCAGGCAGGTGGTGCCGTGGTTGGGATTCGAACCAACAACCCTAGTACTGCCAAGCTGAAATGTTAATGGAATACCCAGTAGTACCCAGTAGGGATGATTTTCTAAGGGAATTGATGCTGTTTATTTAACTTAGCTAATAGTAGTTAGCAGGGGCGGACTGACAACTCATGGGGCCCCCGGCAATAAGAGATCATGGGGCCCCTGTGTCCTTGCCCAAACTCAAAAAAGCCTATGAAAAAGGTACCAGGGTCATCTCATGGGGCCCTCTACTGACCCCGGGCCCTTAGGCAGTGCCCGAGTTTCCAAATGGTCAGTTCGCCCCTGGTAGTTAGTCACCTTAATCCAATCACCATGGAAAGTGTCTGAATGTGACCGAATGTGGCTATCAGCTCCGGGATCTTTTGCTGACAGTGATTGGAGGATATGCAGCAAAACATCCTCAACCGTAAGCCCCGTACACGCGATCAGAATATCGGACGAATGGTCATCCATTTTTTTTTTTGCATCTAGACTCATATCGAAAGTAAAGAGGTTATTAAAGTTAGGAAAATTGTTGTACGACAGAAACAAAATTCAAAAGTGATGTAATGTATTTGTATTGTATTTCTGGATGAAAATTGTACTGATTAACCACTTCAAGTCCGGACACTTTTATCCCCTTCCAGTCCAGGCCAATTTCCAGCTTTCAGCGCTATCACCCTTTGAATGACAATTGCACAGTCATGCAACACTGTATGCAAGTGAATTTTTTAGCATTTTTTTGAGACAGATAAAACTTTATTTTTGGTGGTATTTATTCACCACTGGGATTTTAATTTGTTTGCTATATAAATGAAAAAGTCCAAACATTTAGAAAAAAAAAAGTGTTTTTCTTATAAAATTTTACAAATAAATATTCTTTCTTCCTAATTCTTGGCCAAAATGTATTCAGCTATCTTTTTAGTGAAAAAAAACCCCAAAATTAGTTTATAACCAAATATTATAATTTTTCAAAAATTTTACATTTTTATATTATTATGTTTTTTGTTTTTTTTTACATACTGTCACCCTAGCAGTATAGTGTCACCATAGTGACACTGTACTACTTGAGGAGGGTGAGAAAGATTTTTTTTTTTTCACACTGATTGCTTTAACAACCAAAAAGTCTGTAAAAGCAATCATTTCTCGTTCTCTCTGGCTGCATTCTTGCAGCCATTGAGAAATACTGTGAGAGCTGTGATTGGTCACAGCTTGTCACATGGTACAAGGCTGTTGTGAATAGCCCTGTACCATGTGACCTCTGTGATCATTCACAGATTTCACAAGTAGTAAGCAATGATGTCAGGAAGTGACATCTTGCTTACTACTATTCATGTGATCACTGATTGGCCAATCAGTGAGCACATGATCGGGACCTCACACAGAGGTCCTGTACACCGATCGGTGTTCCATTGTGTCCTCTGGATTGCGGTGATGTGCGCTCCCAGGGATTGCTGGAAGACATTTATAAACAGCCACCCGCTCCTGCACTGCTCCCCTCCGGCCGTTTATGTACATGGGCCGAAAGGGAAGTTGTTAAACTAAAATTGTACAATCCGGTATCATAGGAGAAAAATTTCCTTGCTTGTCTCTTCAAATAATTTCGGACAAAAGCTGCGTACTAACGATCAGATTATCGTACGATCGCTTCGAAAGCGGGATTTTTCATACAATTTTCTGATCATGTGTACTAGGCTTTACAGAACAAGTCTAGCTAGATGTAGCTTCAACCACTAGCTACACCATGACCTGGATAAATGAGAACATTAGACACATTTACTTAGCGAATAAGCTGTAGTTGTATTCACTTCACTTCCAATCGGGAGCACTTTATAGAAAGGTGAAAGCAGAAAATAAACAAGTGGTTCATCGAGTTTGCCCTATGAGATATATACACTCTATTGCCAAAAGTATTGGTCGGCCTGCCTTTACATGCACATGAACTTTAATGGCCCCCCAGTCTTAGTCCGTAGGGTTCAATATTCAGTTGGCCCACCCTTTGCAGCTATAACAGCTTCAACTCTTATGGGAAGGCTGTCCACAAGGTTTAGGAGGGTGTCTATGGGAAGGTTGGACCATTCTTCCAGAAGCACATTTGTCAGGTCAGGCACTGATGTTGGGGGAGGAGGCCTGGCTCGCAGTCTCCGTTCTAATTCACCCCAAAAGTGTTCTATTGGGTTGAGGTCAGGACTCTGTGCAGGCCAGTCAAGTTCCTCCACCCCAAACTCGCTCATCCATGTCTTTATGGACCTTGCTTTGTGCACTGGTGGGCAGTCATGTTGGAACAGGAAGAGGCCATCCCCAAACTCTTCCCACAAAGTTGGGAGCATGAAATTGTCCAAAATGCCTTGGCATGCTGACCCCTTAAGAGTTCCCTTCACTGGAACTAGGGGGCCAAGCCCAACCCCTGAAAAACAGCCCACACCATAATCCTCCCTCCACCAAACATTACACTTGGCACAATACAGTCAGGCAAGTACCGTTCTCCTGGCAACCGCCAAACCCAGACACGTCCATTGGACTGTCAGACAGAGAAGTGTGATTGGTCACTCCAGAGAACACGTCTCCACTACTCTAGAGTCCAGTGGTGGTGTGCTTTACACCATTGCATCCGACGCTTTGCATTGCACTTGGTGATGTAAGGCTTGGATGCAGCTACTCGGCCATGGAAACCCATTCCATGAAGCTCTCTATGCACTGCTGTTGTGCTAATCTGAAGGCCACAGACAGTTTTCGACTTCTACACACTGTGCGCTTCAGCATGTGCTGACCCCGCTCTGTCATTTTACGTGACCTACCACTTGGTGGCTGAGTTGCTGTTGTTCCCAGTTGCTTCCACTTTGTTATAATCCCACTAACAGTTGAACGTGGAATATTTAGTAGCCAGGAAATGTCATGGATGGATTTATTGCACAGGTGGCCACCTATCACGGGACCACGCTTGGATTTTCTGAGCTTCTGAGAGCGACCCATTCTTTCACAAATGTTTATAGAAGCAGTCTGCATGCCTAGGGGCTTGATTTTATACATCTGTGGCCATGGAGGTGATTGGAACACCTGAATCACATGATTTGGAAGGCTGGCCCAATACTTTTGGCAATATAGTGTGTATATATATATATATATATATTTTATTTTTTTTGTCTGTGTAGAGATCTATGTTTGTCCCAAGTATGGTTGAATCTTCTTACTGTTGACTGACTCACTCACTGGCTGATAATCAACATCAATGCAGCGTCATCTTATTTACTGAGCTAAGTGCACATACACTTTTGCAAGAGAAAAGCCTCTACGACTTTAAATTAAATCAACCTCAGTGCCTTTGTTTTCTCCTTAACAGAAAGCGACTTTACAAAGGACCATGTGTTACTAAAATACAGCATACTGTAAACCAACCTTTCTCTACCAGGGTGCTATGACACCCTGGGGTACCTATTGGGTACTTCAGAGGTACCCTTGAAAAATGCCTAAAGATTTTCACAAATTGGGCAAAATTTCAAGAAGCCAGTGAGTGGATCAAGCCTGCCCATTTGTTACACAAAGCCACAGGTTTTTATTGTGCAGCCTTCCAACCTTGGGCACCATGCTGGCCATCCCCTAGCATCCTAACAACCAAAGTGTAGCGGTCAGGGGTCATGCCCAGAGACTAGTAGCTGTAGCAGTAGAGAAGCTCCCACCAAACAGCAGGCTAAGTATACAAGCAGGTCACCCTGGCAGATGATGCAGGCTCACTCAAGGTGCAGAGACTAAGCACTAACCAGTCTTCATCAGAGCTTCTGATGGTGGAGATGTGTTTTGCTCTTGTTCGTACTAGGTTGGGGTCTTCAGGGTCTCCCCACCAGGAGGTGAGCAAGCCAGGGGGGCCAGTAGCAGGTATAGCAGGTAGGAATAAGCAGAAACATAGTCAGTAAACAAGCCACAGGCTGGCAACAAGTAGTTGCAAGTTGGGATAAAGCACAAGAGTTGTCGAGAAACAAGCCAAACGTTGGTAATAAGTGGTTGCAAGTTGGGATAAAGCACAAGCGTAGTCAAGAAACAAGTCAAAGGATGGTAACAAGTGGTTGCAAGTTGGGATAAAGCAGAAGCATAGTCAAGGAACAAGCCAAAGGTTGGTAACAAGTGGTTGCAAGTTGGGATAAAGCAGAAGCATAGTCAAGGAACAAGCCAAAGGTTGGTAACAAGTGGTTGCAAGTTGGGATAAAGCAGAAGCGTAGTCCAGGAACAGCCAAAGGTTGGTAACAAGTGGTTGCAAGTTGGGATAAAGCACAAGCGTAGTCAAGAAACAAGTCAAAGGATGGTAACAAGTGGTTGCAAGTTGGGATAAAGCAGAAGCGTAGTCAAGGAACAAGCCAAAGGTTGGTAACAAGTGGTTGCAAGTTGGGATAAAGCAGAAGCGTAGTCCAGGAACAGCCAAAGGTTGGTAACAAGTGGTTGCAAGTTGGGATAAAGCACAAGCGTAGTCAAGAAACAAGTCAAAGGATGGTAACAAGTGGTTGCAAGTTGGGATAAAGCAGAAGCGTAGTCCAGGAACAGCCAAAGGTTGGTAACAAGTGGTTGCAAGTTGTGATAAAGCAGAAGCATAGTAAAGGAACAAGCCAAAGGTTGGTAACAAGTGGTTGCAAGTTGAGATAAAGCAGAAGCATAGTCAAGGAACAAGCCAAAGGATGGTAACAAGTGGTTGCAAGTTGGGATAAAGCAGAAGCATAGTCAAGGAACAAGCCAAAGGTTGGTAACAAGTGGTTGCAAGTTGGGATAAAGCACAAGCATTGTCGAGAAACAAGCCAAAGGTTGGTAACAAGTGGTTGCAAGTTGGGATAAAGCACAAGCATTGTCGAGAAACAAGGCAAAGGTTGGTAACAAGTGGTTGCAAGTTAAGATAAAGCACAAGCATTGTCGAGAAACAAGCCAAAGGTTGGTAACAAGTGGTTGCAAGTTGGGATAAAGCAGAAATGTAGTTGAGGCACAAGCCAAAGATGGTAACAAGTGGTAGCAAATATACAAATGGCAGTAGGAGTGACAAGAGTGAGATATTGTCTGGAGAGAGCACAATAATCTGGAAAACAGGAAGTGCAAAGGCATGGCTTAAATCACGAAGTTCATGAGAGGAGCAAGGAGTTCAAGAGAAACAAAGTTCAAGGCAGGATCATTCAAGGAATTGTCCATGGAGCTGTCCAGCATCCCAGGTAGCTCAGCAAGAATAGACATCACCAGACACAGCAGAGGTTGCAGGTTCAGACCTGGACCCTGACATAATGATGTCATTGATTGATAAGGAGGACTCTGGGTCCTGTTTGGCCATTTCCTGCCCCTCTCTGTCAGCACTGGGGTCATGTTAGCAGAGAGAGGAAGAGAAATGCTAGCATATTAGTCAGTTTCAGTTTGCACACGTGGAGGAATAAATCATTTCTAAAGCTGGTTGGCCCACATGCGTGGATGATGCTGAGATATGGAAAACTGTTTGTTTCGTTTTTTTACATTTAAGAATGGGGTACCTCGAGATTGTGCATCATTTTAAAGGGTGCCTTGACTGAAAAAAGGTTAGGAAACACTGCTGTAAACTATAGACACTACTACTGCTCAGGTGACTGCTCAACAAGGCCTCAATGGTATAGTATAGGCTCTGTTGAGCAGTCACCTGAGCTGTTGGGTATATATAGCAAAAAGCACGCAGGGGGACAGTAGACATCTCATGGATTGCTGGTAAATATTCAAGTAGATCTATCTTTTAAATGCTCGCTATTAATTAGAATTTGTCAAAAATTAATAGATTAGATTAAAATGAGCTCTGTGTTTCTCTACATGCTGCAAATGTTTCAATATCAGTTATATTGGAAGTCGATTTTGATTTTCTTTTGGGTTTGTTTTTGTGTTTTGGTTTTTTTTTTGCTTATTATCTCTTTATTAAACTTTTGTCATAGACGCATCAAAGAAATGAATGTGACATAAGAGCTAGTTGCCCGGCTTTCATGGTGACGCAAAGGCTTTGATAGCTTTGGAGTCAATGGGGTTGATCTACTAAAGGAGATAAGGCGCTGTTTACTTAGCAATGTGTATTTTCACTTTTCAAATTAATTTTCCCTTAGCTTAGTGATTGACATCCATCATCCAACCATGTGCAAGCAAAAATACTGTTTTCCTTTCATGTGATTGGATATTCATTGCAAAGTAATTTTTCTCCACATTCACTAAGATAAGTGAAGATTCCCTATCAACATGAAAATTGACTTTGCAAGGTGAACAGTAAATCAAACCCAATGACGCAAAAAAGGTATACAAATAAGGTGCCTGCATGCTTGTTCTAGGTCAGTTCCTAGGAATTCTAGAATCTGCAAGAGCAGAGTACGTATTTCTCTTGGTACAAGTTTCTTTTAATTAAAAACCTTTTCAATCATCAGGTTTGGCCTTCCCCGACTGGGCGTACAAGGCAGAGTCGAGCCCAGGCTCCCGTCAGATCCAGCTGTGGCACTTCATCTTGGAGCTGTTGCAGAAGGAAGAGTTCCGCCATGTCATCGCCTGGCAGCAGGGAGAGTATGGCGAGTTTGTCATCAAGGATCCTGATGAAGTGGCCAGGCTGTGGGGCCGGCGGAAATGTAAACCCCAGATGAACTATGACAAGCTGAGCCGGGCTCTCAGGTGAGAAGATATCTCTCAAACACATGCAAATTCAAGTCATAAAGAAGCATCAGAGTAAACAAGAAAGCTGAGACTTGGTAGAACCGCTTATACCAGATTTGAATCAACTTCTGGCCAACCACGTAGCACATACAGTGGGGCAAAAAAGTATTTAGTCAGCCACCAATTGTGCAAGTTCTCCCACTTAAAAAGATGAGAGAGGCCTGTAATTGGCATCATAGGTAGACCTCAACTATGAGAGACAAAATGAGAACAAAAATCCAGACAATCACATTGGCTGATTTGGAAAGAATTTATTTACAAATTATGGTGGAAAATAAGTATTTGGTCACCTACAAACAAGCAAGATTTCTGGCTCTCACAGACCTGTACCTTCTTCTTTAAGAGGCTCCTCTGTCCTGCACTCATTACCTGTATCAATGGCACCTGTTTGAACTTGTTATCAGTATAAAAGACACCTGTCCACAACCTCAAACAGTCACACTCCAAACTCCACTATGGTGAAGACCAAAGAGCTGTCGAAGGACACCAGAAACAAAATTGTAGACCTGCACCAGGCTGGGAAGACTGAATCTGCAATAGGCAAGCAGCTTGGTGTGAACAAATCAACTGTGGGAGCAATAATTAGTAAATGGAAGACATACAAGACCACTGATAATCTCCCTCGGTCTGGGGCTCCACGCAAGATCTCACCCCGTGGGGTCAAAATGATCACAAGAACGGTGAGCAAAAATCCCAGGACCACACGGGGGAACCTAGTGAATGACCTGCAGAGAGCTGGGACCAACGTAACAAAGGCTACCATCAGTAACACACTACGCTGCCAGGGACTCAGATCCTGCAGTGCCAGACGTGTCCCCCTGCTTAAGCCAATACATGTCCGGGCCCGTCTGAAGTTTGCTAGAGAGCATTTGGATGATCCAGAAGAGGATTCGGAGAATGTCATATGGTCAGATGAAACCAAAATAGAACTGTTTGGTGGAAACACAACTCGTCATGTTTGGAGGAGAGAGAATGCTGAGTTGCATCCAAAGAACACCATACCTACTGTGAAGCATGGGGGGTGGCAACATCATGCTTTGGGGCTGTTTCTCCGCAAAGGGACCAGGATGACTGATCCATGTACAGGACAGAATGAATGGGGCCATGTATCGTGAGATTTTGAGTGCAAACCTCCTTCCATCAGCAAGGGCATTGAAGATGAAACGTGGCTGGGTCTTCCAACATGACAATGATCCCAAACATACCACCCAGGCAATGAAGGAGTGGCTTCGTAAGAAGCATTTCAAGGTCCTGGAGTGGCCTAGTCAGTCTCCAGATCTCAACCCCATAGAAAACCTTGGGAGGGAGTTGAAAGTCCGTGTTGCCCAGCGACAACCCCAAAACATCACTGCTCTCAGAGGAGATCTGCATGGAGGATGGGCCAACATACCAGCAACAGTGTGTGCCAACCTTGTGAAGACTTACAGGAAACGTTTGACCTCTGTCATTGCCAACAAAGGATATATAACAAAGTATTGAGATGAACTTTTGATATTGACCAAATACTTATTTTCCACCATAATTTGCAAATAAATTCTTTCCAAATCAGCCAATGTGATTGTCTGAATTTTTGTTCTCATTTTGTCTCTCATAGTTGAGGTCTACCTATGATGCCAATTACAGGCCTCTCTCATCTTTTTAAGTGGGAGAACTTGCACAATTGGTGGCTGACTAAATACTTTTTTGCCCCACTGTATGTGTGGTGGCAAGAAAGGGGGACTTAAGGGCCAGCAATATGGTAGTGCACATGGAAGCATGTGGTTTCCAGCATAGGAACACACTGCTGTCTGCAGACGCATATGGATACTAATACTTCTCAATTCTTAATGGCACCACCACACGTCTCACAAATGCAGTTGCATTCTTGGGCATCAAAACACAAGGTACCACAGTGAACACATATGTGCAGCGGCTGGAGATTAGGGTTCGGTTCACACCATAAAGCAGCCTTTCTTGACATTTTCAACGTGGAGGAACCCTTGAAATAACTTTCTGGTCTCAGGAAACCCCTACTAATAATTATTATATCTACAACTCATGATACCCCCTTACAGACAGCTAAAAAGATCAACGGTGTCAGTGGGAACTTATCTGAGAAGGCAGAAATTGCTCATTGCTCAAGGAAACCCTAGAAATTCCTGGAGGAACCCTAGTTGAGATACCCTGCCATTAAAGGTGCGTTTGTGCGCACACATTTTTGTGTGTTCCTGTGTGTTCGTTAGTTCATTGAAATGAATTGGATGTCCAAAACACATCGCCCGGGAACGTGCAAAAATGCATGCGGATGCACACTTTATGGTGTGAACCTGCCCTTAATGTCCAGCTGCAATCTCCCCATGCTGTCACCAGCTTTCGTTCAAGGCTTCTGATCGGGATCCAGTAGGACAGGATCAATCATGTGACTGCTATGAGAGCCAATCATAGTGGTCACATGAGCCAGAAGCCATGCTGCTTCCTGGGCATTAAAGGGCTGTGATGGGTTAGGCTGTGTTAAGGGGTTACGCAACCTCCATTTTCAAGGTTCTGCTCATTTTAGGACCAGAAACCAGGATGGTCCATAATCAGAACAGTTTGAAAGACACAATGCACCACATCCTAACCAATGGGGTCACAAACATTTTCATTAGAATGGGGAAGGGTTAAAACCTGCTCTTTGTTCCTTCTTGTGACAACTCCATCATTACAGATACATGTGTCACCTGAACCAAAAATGTGAGAAAATCTTCCTAACGGTGTCTCAGAACTACAGACATAACAAATGATTCCAGACAAACACAGGCACTAGATCTTCTATTGTCCGTATCCAGTATTAACAAGAATCATCTCATTTAAGACACTAACTAGCTTTGGGTTAGGCCACTTACCTATACCAGAGCACCCCTGCGTGGAGGATAGTCTAGAGCAGCCCTTCTCAACCAGGGTGCCCAGGCACCCCGGGGTGCCTTGCCAAAATGTCTAAAAATTGCCCAAAAATTGTATACAAGCCAGCGGGTGGGACAAGTCTGCCTTTTAGTTACACAAAGCCATAGGTTTTAATTGTGCGCCATTACGACTTTCTAGCCACTGGCGTCCTGGCAACCAATGACATCATCAGTTAAGGTGGATGTCAGCTGCCTGCACAGCATCCTAGTTTGACCTTGTCCTGCCCCTTTCCATCAGTGCTGGGGTCACATTAGCTCAGTGATGGAGAAAAACTGAGGGAGAGGAGAAACATTTGTATACTAGTCAGTACCAGTGTGCAAAAGTATGTTTGCTCTGGAAGAATAAATCAGTTCCAATGTTGGGTGTCCTACATGTGTGGATGTTGCTGTGTTATATAAACTTATTAGAATAGTTTTTCACTTTTTAGAATGGGGTGCCTCAAGACTGTCCCTAATTTTAAAGGGTGCCTCAAGACTGTCCATAATTTTATAGGGTGCCTCAAGACTGTCCATAATTTTATAGGGTGCCCCAGGACTGTCCATAATTTTATAGGGTGCCTCAGGACTGTCCATAATTTTATAGGGTGCCTCAGGACTGTCCATAATTTTATAGTGTGCCCCAGGACTGTCCATAATTTTATAGGGTGCCTCAGGACTGTCCATAATTTTATAGGGTGCCTCAGGACTGTCCATAATTTTATAGGGTGCCTCAGGACTTTCCATAATTTTATAGGGTGCCTCAGGACTGTCAATAATTTTATAGGGTGCCTCAAGACTGTCCATAATTTTATAGGGTGCCTCAAGACTGTCCATAATTTTATAGGGTGCCTCAAGACTGTCCATAATTTTATAGGGTGCCTCAGGACTGTCCATAATTTTATAGGGTGCCTCAGGACTGTCCATAATTTTAAAGGGTGCCTCAGGACTTTCCATAATTTTATAGGGTGCCTCAGGACTGTCCATAATTTTATAGTGTGCCCCAGGACTGTCCATAATTTTATAGGGTGCCTCAGGACTGTCCATAATTTTATAGGGTGCCCCAGGACTGTCCATAATTTTATAGGGTGCCCCAGGACTTTTCATAATTTTATAGGGTGCCTCAGAACTGTCCATAATGTTATAGGGTGCCTCAGGACTGTCCATAATGTTATAGGGTGCCTCAGGACTGTCCATAATGTTATAGTGTTCCTCAGGACTGGCCATAATTTTATAGGGTGCCTCAGGACTGTCCATAATTTTATAGGGTGCCTCAGGACTGTCCATAATTTTAAAGGGTGCCTCAGGACTGTCCATAATTTTAAAGGGTGCCTTTACTGAAAAAAGGTTGAGAAACACTGATCTAGAGGGAAGTCCAACTATACAGAAAATGGAAGCGCCCCACCAGTCCAAATCTGTACTTTATTAAATGATCAATGAAAAAAAAAAAACAACATGTTTCAGAGGTTAAGAAAACTTCCCCCCTTCATCAAGGCTTGTGTGTTTTATAATCATATATATCTACTGACTATGTCTATTTGCAACCAAAGTTACATAATATGGCCTAATGTATAGCCACTGACAGTTTGTTCAGCATAAAGCAGGCCATAGACGGGTCAAACATCGGCCAATTTATAAAAAAAACCCCGAAAAATTGGTCGTTCGATCGGCCGACGTTACATCCAACGTTAAAAAAATCAGCCGATTTTCATCCTGTTTATGTCCGGCATTAAAACCCCATAACTTCTGTCCCTTGCAGAGACAGGGGAGCACAACATACAATGTGACAGCAATACAGAAGAAGAAGAAGTATCCAAATAAAAACATCTGTATCCAAATAAAAACAGTGTAATACATTATTTGGATACAGATGTTTTTATTTGGATACAAATGGATACATTTGTTGCAACCGCAAGACTTTTTCATATAAAATATAATAGCGGACTGGAATTCTTCTTCATTTTCTTCTTCTTCTTCTTGTAGGTCACGGCTCCTGCACAGATTTTTTTATCACCTAAAACCATCGGCCAATTTGCCCATCATCGGCCACAAATTTTCAAACATGCCCGATAAAAAAAATGTGCAAAAACCCAGAAAAACGGCTGACCAATTAACCCACTAACGGTGTGAAAATCGGCCGATTTTTTTATCGGCCTACAAATTGGCCGGTTTTCGACCCATCTATGGCCGGCATAAAGCTCTGAAGTGCTATGACGGTGTACTCACCACTTTCTCATCATTTGGGACACAGACAAAAACACATTTATAGTAGAGTGAGGAAGGGTTAGAATTTCCGACAATGTTTTATTGCTCCTGTTCCTTGCTATCCAGGTGACAACACCTTCATTGCTTGTATGTGTGTTACCTGAACAGGAAACAAGAGAATATTTTCCCAATGGTATTGCAGACAGAAACAAAATGTTACTATATCCACATTCCATCCAAAAAAAGAGTTTTTTAAATAAAGGGTTGGAGTTAGGATTTACAAAAGGGTGTACCCATGACACAGAATTAATAGAATATTATGGTGTGGTCATGTTATTTTCTCATGATTGGATGTGGCTGGTTCTATCAGAGTGATGCTCTGATAATGAATCACATTTTTAAATGTGGAGGTCAAAAACTTGGTCCGGTGGTAAATTATTGTGCACTGAAAAAAAAAATTTTTTAAATTAAATATATATATATATATATATATATATATATATATATATACAGTGAGGAACAGAAGTATTTGAACACCCTGCGATTTTGCAAGTTCCCCCACTTAGAAATCATGGAGGGGTTTGAAATTCACATTGTAGGTGCATTTCCACTCTGAGAGACAGAATTAAAAAAAAATTCAGGAAATCACATTGTATGATTTTTAAAGAATGTATTTGTCTTGCACTGCTGAACATAAGTATTTGAACACCTGAGAAAATCAGTGATAATATTTGGTACGACTTTGTTTGCAATTACAGAGGTCAAACGTTTCCTGTAGTTCTTGACCAGGTTTGCACTGCAACAGGGATTTTGGCCCACTCCTCCACACAGATCTCCTCTAGATCTGTCAGGGTTCTGGGCTGTCGCTGAGCAACACGGAGTTTCAGCTCCCTCCAAAGATGTTCTATTGGATTTAGGTCTGGAGACTGGCTAGGCCATTCCAGAACCTTGATATGCTTCTTACGGAGCCACTCCTTGGTTATCCTGGCTGTGTGCTTCAGGTCATTGTCATGTTGGAAGACCCAGCCATGACCCATCTTCAATGCTCTGACTGAGGGAAGGAGGTTGTTGCTCAAAATCTCACAATAAATGGCCCCATTCATCCTCTCCTCAATACAGTGCAGTCATCCTGTCCCCTTCGCAGAAAAACACCCCCAAAGCATGATGTTACCACCCCCATGCTTCACAGTAGGTATGGTGTTCTTGAGATGCAACTCATCCTTCTTTTTCCTCCAAACACGACAAGTGAAGTTTAGACCAAAAAGTTCTACTTTGGTCTCATCTGACCACATGACTTTCTCCCATGCCTCCTCTGGATCATCCAGATGGTCATTGGCAAACTTCAGACGGGCCTGGACATGTGATGACTTGAGCAGGGGAACCTTCCGTGCAATGCATGATTTGAAACCATGGCGGCGTAGTGTTCTACCGACAGTGACCTTTGAAACTGTGGTCCCAGCTCTCTTCATGTCATTGACCAGCACCTCCCTTGTAGTTCTGGGCTGATTCCTCACCTTTCTTATCATCAGTGATACCCCACGAGGTGAGATCTTGCATGGAGCCCCAGTCCAAGGGAGACTGACAGTCATCTTTAGCCTCTTCCATTTTCTAACAATTGCTCCAACAGTTGATCTATTTTCACCAAGCGGCTTGGCAATTGCCCCGTAGCCCTTTCCAGCTTTGTGGAGGTCCACAATTTTGTCTCTGGTGTCTTTTGACAGCTCTTTGGTCTTGCCCATGGTAGTAGTTGACGTCTGACTGACTGTGGGGTGGACAGGTGTCTTTAAAGAGCTCAGACAGGTGCTACTAAGTTAGATTAACGAGTGGAGTAGAGGTGGACTATTTAAAGGCACAGTAACAGGTCTTTGAGAGCCAGAATTCTTGCTGTTTCTTAGGTGTTCAAATACTTATGTTCAGCAGTGCAAGACAAATAAATTCTTTAAAAATCATAGAATGTGATTTCCTGAATTTTTTTTTTAATTCTGTCTCTCAGAGTGGGAATGCACCTACAATGTGAATTTCGGACCCCTCCATGATTTCTAAGTGGGGGAACTTGCAAAATTGCAGGGTGATCCTCACTGTATATATGTATATATATATATATATATATATATATATATATATAAAATGATCTAAGTGCAACAAATCTGAGACTTCACAACTATAATCTGCTCTCTTGAGGCATAAAAAGCCTGACAGGCAATCCAAAGTAGTTGCAAAGTAGTTGCTTTATAATAAATGTATTAATATATCCAAATAACATTTTTTTTTTTTTGCAAATGTTTAAATTTCAGATATTACTACAATAAGAGAATACTGCACAAGACAAAAGGGAAAAGATTCACATACAAGTTTAACTTCAGCAAACTCATCTTTGTGAACTACCCAGTGTGGGACATGAGATGCCCCTCACAGTCCCTACTGCTGGGGAACAATATGTGTCATACAGCTGTACTGCCATCTGGTGTTCAAAGAGAGGTAATGCACTGACATTGTTCCAGTTCCGAGTTCAGAAGTATTTATTATTATCATCATTATTATTATTATTATTATTCAGGATTTATATAGCACCAACAGTTTGCTCAGCGCGTTACAATATAACGGGACACAATACCGCAACAATACAGTTCAATAAAAGAGGGTTAGGATTTGGATTTATTTCAAGCTAGAAAAGAAACTGATGATGCCGATGATGATAATAATAATAATAATATTAATAATAATAACATTTATTAGTTGTAAATTATTATTATTATTGTTGTTGTTATCTGGCGTATACATTTCAGTTCACCACTTTTTTATAAATAGGCCCCATAGATATACTTATTCACCAAGGCAGTGCATACACCAATGCTCATCTGAAATGAGTTGTAACACACAGCAATCAGACATAAGTTTTCACTAATCAGAGTACAATAATGTGTAAATTTAATGTAAATGTAAAAAAATACATTGGTGGTCTGTGGGAAGAATGCCCCCTACAATGGCGGCCAGTGGGAACATGTCCCTTACATTGGTGATCAGTGGGAAGAATGCCCCTTACATGGGTGGTCAGTGGGAAGAATGTCCCTTACATTGGTGATCAGTGGGAAGAATGCCCCTTACATGGGGGGTCAGTGGGAAGAATGCCCCTTACATTGGTGGTCAGTGGGAAGATTGCCCCTTACATTGGCGATCAGTGGGAAGAATTCTCCTTACATTGGTGGTCAGTGGGAAGAATGATACTTACATTGGTGGTCAGTGTGAAGAATGCCCCTTACATTGGTGATCAGTGGGAAGAATGTCCCTTACATTGGTGGTAAGTGGGAATAATGCTCCTTACATTGGTGGTCAGGGGAAAGAATGATCCTTGCATTGTTGGTCAGTGGGAAGAATGTTCCTTACATTGGAGGTCGGTGGGAAGAATGCCCCTTACATTGGTGATCAGTGGGAAGAATGTCCCTTGCATTGGTGATCAGTGGGAAGAATGCCCCTTACATGGGTGGTCAGTGGGAAGAATGCCCCTTACATTGGTGATCAGTGGGAAGAATTCTCCTTACATTGGTGGTCATTGGGAAGAATGCACCTTACATTGGTGATCAGTGGGAATAATTATCCTTATATTGGTGGTCAGTGGGAAGAATGTCCCTTACATTGGTGGTCAGTGGAAAGAATGATCCTTGCATTGTTGGTCAGAGGAAAGAATGATTCTTGCATTGTTGGTCAGTGGGAAGAATGCCCCTTACATTGGAGGTAAGTGGGAAGTATGCTCCTTACATTGGAGGTCAGTGGGAAGAATGCTCCTTACATTGATGATCAGTGGAAAGAATGCTCCTTACATTGGTGATCAGTGGGAAGAATGTCCCTTACATTGGTGATCAGTGGGAAGAATGCCCATTATATTGGTGGTCAGTGGGAAGAATGCCCCTTACATTGATGGTCAGTGGGAAGAATTCCCCTTACATTTGGGGTCAGTGTGAAGAATGCCCCTAACATTGATGGTCAATAGGAAGAATTCCCTTTACATTGGTGGTCAGTGGGAAGAATGCCCCTTACATTGGAGGTCAGTGGAAAGAATTCCCCTTACATTGGTGGTCAGTGGGAAGAATGCCCCTTACATTGGAGGTCAGTGGGAAGGATGCCCCCTTTATAGTAGTGCTCAAAATGCCACCCTCACAGACAGCTAAAATCATCATTGGTGTCATGCAGTTGGCTCTGCCAAGTTCCATTTGCCCCAAGACTATGAGGGCACCATCAAATGGGATGCCAATTAACCACAGCTCAAGGAACCCTTAGCACCCTCTGAAAGGAAAACATAAAGAAAAGCCTCTTGCGCCAGTTCTGGCATAGGAGGACCAAGGATCTTCAATTATTCCAATAAGGCAAAGCTTTTGTATAGATATAGATGTATACAAACCAAGATTCACAAGCATATTATTATCGACAGTGTCCTGGGTGACCTAAGACACTGGGGGTTTTGTCTCTTAATAATTATACCAGCCCAAGTAGTTGCAAGTAGAAGAAACTCTTAGGAGTCAATTTGTGTGACTCGTTAGGTATTTAACGGGAGGCTATGCAGAGACAAAGATCTGCTCTGAAGAAGAGGGGATCCCCCTCGAAACGTGTCAGATTTTTACGCATCTTCTTGTGTTTGGGACTCACCCAATGGTCTAGGTCACCAAGGATACTGTCGATAATGATATGCTTGTGATTCTTGGTGTCCTTAAGTATACATCTGTTTTACTTTTCTAATAAAAAGCTATCACTGTGCAAGCTATCACTTGCACATTAGTGCAAGACTTGTGTGCCCCTTTTTTTCTTGTTTTCTAGACCCTCTGAAAGGACCCTAGTTGAGAATGACTGGTCTATCTATCTATCTATCTATCTATCTATCTATCTATCTATCTATCTATCTATCTATCTATCTATCCATAAACCTTTTTTTTTTTACAATGTTCTTCTCTCCCTTACTACAGGTATTACAGAACACTCTTCTAGCGCATAAGCTCTTTGCAGACCAACTTACCTGCCGCAGAGTTCTCCAGAATCCAATGGAGTATGATAACAGCACAGGGAAGAAGACGCTGGGAGCTGGAAGTAAGTCACATAGTAAAAGGTTATTCTAAGTTTTGAAAACAGCCATCTTACCTCTGGCAGTGCCCATCTGGCAAGACATGGTTGTCTGGTAACTGAACCTTGGCACTCTATGAGGCTCCCAGCTCCTAGGGGAGTAAAGAATGATTCTCTAGTCCAGGGGTCTTCAAACTTTCTAAACAAAGGGCCAGTTTATTGTCAGTTTACTGTCCTTCATACTTTAGCAGGACCAGACTGTGGCCAGAGGGAGTAGATATTGTCTCTGGCTTGGTGGTCAGTGGGAGTAAACAATTTACACAGGAGGAGGAGGAATAGTGCTCCATCACTGGTATTAGGGGGAGGAATAGTGCCCCCATCATTAATGGCAGTGGGGAATAGTTTTCCATTGCTGGTGTCAGTGGGATAAATAGTGCCCCATCTTTGCCATTAGTGGAAGGAATAGTGCCCCATCAATGGTGTGAGATGAAGAATATATGCTCCAACATTGGTGTCAGTGGAGAGAATAATACCCTATTGCTGGTGTCAGAGGGAGGAATAGTGTCCCAAGGGCTGTATAAAGGCAAGCAAAAGGCCATACCCACATGTCCTTTGCCTGGTTGTAGGATCATATTAAACGTCAGCTGAGGTACACTTTTAGTTATATACTTGATGGGCCTCTTGTGAGAAAACTTATTTTTCTATTCTTGTTTTTCCAGGGTGCAATTTGGTTCCTACTCCATGTTTCTCAGGCTCCTGCTGTTACTTTGGCCTGCGCAGTGGGCGTTTCCATGCGCCTAGCACTTCCACAGAGCTTCACAATCCTGGTGTAGCACCCCACCCTGGGCGACCACTTTACTCTTCTACTCCAGCCACCCTACCAGGCTCAGCAGAGTGGCCACTGTGTACCGGCCATACGTTCCACCACAGTCTAACGTTGATGTCCTTGGAGGAAAGATTTCAGAGCCTTGGCCATAGGGGGATACATGATAGATTAATGGAAGGCAATCGTTCAAACTCCCTATTGGGGCAACAGACGATTCCACCCATGGAGAACCAGCCTATCATATCACCTGTTTTAGAAGCCCAACAGGAGGAAAGCACCTACCAGTCACCTTCAACTGTGAAACCTGATCCGGAGAGCCAGTATAAGTCTTTAGAAGTGGACAGCAAGCTGAAAAAAATTAAAGAAACCATAAAGGTTTCTTTGAGTCCATCTGAAACGCAAAATGTACAAAGTAAGCTGCACACAGTAGAAGCGGACCAGCCATTTAACACCAAGAACTGGCTTCTAAAGTCTGCATAGGAGTCAAGGCCTACAGACATTAAGCTCCATGTAAAATGTATGTGTAAAATCTCTAAACCTCAGTATCATAGCTTGAGACATCAGAAATCAGAAAGCTAAAGAAACTCATCAGTAGGGTCAGAATTCTCCAGCTAAGGTTGGGTTATGAATGGATTAGATGCAGTTTACTTAGCAATGTGTATGATCAACTATATGGCTAAATGTTTGTAGACAACTGACAACCGCATCTTTATGAACCTGTTTGACATCCCATTCAAATCCTTAGGAATTATTATAGAGTTGGCTGCTTCCTTTCTGGTATAACAATCTCTGCTCATCTAGGAAGGCTTTCCACAAAATTCTGGAGTGTGTCGGTAGGAATTTGTGCCGCTAAAGAACAAATGTGAGGTCAGGTTCTGATGTTGAATGAAAAGCCCTAGTTTGCAACTGGCATCCCCATTCATCCCAAAGATGTTCAGTAGGGTTGAAGTCAAGGCACTGTGCTGGCCAATCAAGTTCTTCCACACCAGTCTGTGTCTTAATGTATTTATTACAGGTACTTACATAGTGCTATCAATTTACACAACTCTTTACATAAATATGTTGTACATTCATATCAGTCCATGCCCTCATGGAGCTTACAATCTAAGGTCTTTAACTAACATTTATACATACTAGGGCCAATTAAGATGGGAGCCAATTAACCTACCAGCATGTCTTTAGGAGTGTGGGAAGAAACCCACACAGCCACAGGGAGAGCATGCAAACTCCAGGCAGGTAGTACCATGGATGGGATTTGGACCAATGACCCTAGGGCTGCTAGGTGGAAGGGCTAACCACTTAACCATTGTGTTGTACTTAATGGACCCAGCTTTGTGCGCAGGAGTACAGTCATGCTGAAAAAGGTGACTGAACTAAACATAGCTTTATTTGCTTAGTGAACAATGACTATGTTAAGAGAACAGCCTATACTCCTTTAGTAATTCAATCCCAAGCTCTTTCTTTCTGATTCCATTTAAGCTGTCTCTGAAAATATGTACTTGTTGTCCCTTGACAATTCACTTGTGTGAACTCTTCTTTTGTTTCCATTTTGGCAGCTGGTTGTCACATTTCTCTATCTCATTTGCTTGGCACCTGAATCAGCCAATTAAACATCGCAAATTTATTTTATGTAAATTGTCAAAAAAGTACTTTAGGTAGCAACAGGTAGAGAGCCCCCATCTGATCTATTACTAAAAGGGTTTGTCCAGTTATGTAAACCTGTATACTATAAGACTACACCAATGTGATGGATGTATAGAAATCTAAATTGCATATTTATTTAATAAAAGGTCAATAAAGATGTGACAACCTGATTTTTTGTGTGTTTAAAGTTGAAAAAGAGACACGGGCATTTTGACTATTCTGCCTAACTCTCAACCTACTGATAATTCTGTCTCCAGTGATCCCAGAGACAGTGTGCCCTTCTTGCCCCAACCCACCAATACTCACCTCTCTGTTGATCCCATGGCACTCATTTCCTTGTTGCAGTGGTCACCAAAATACCTAATGTTAGCAGGTGTCAGAGCCTAGAGCAGCCATTCTCAACCAAGGTTCTTTGTAACCCTAGGATTCCTCCAGAACTTGCTAGGGATTGCTTGAGCTGTGGTTGATTGACCTCCAATTCAACAGTGCTTGCATAGTTCCACAGCCAACGCCTCTTGGCAGACCCAGCTGTATGACACAAATTATTTTTCTTGGATGCAAAATTGGAATTCTGACCACCAGGTATAGGGCATTCTTCTTACTGGCCACCAATGTAAGGGGCATTCTTCTTACTGGCCACCAATGTAAGGAGCATTCTTCTTACTGGCCCCCAATGTAAGGAGCATTCTTCTTACTGGACACCAATGTAAGGAGCATTCTTCTTATAGGCCACCAATGTAAGGAGCATTCTTCTTACTGGCCCCCAATGTAAGGAGCATTCTTCTTACTGGCCACCAATGTAAGGAGCATTCTTCTTATAGGCCACCAATGTAAGGAGCATTCTTCTTACTGGCCACCAATGTAAGGGGCATTCTTCTTACTGGCCACCAATGTAAGGAGCATTCTTCTTACTGGCCCCCAATGTAAGGAGCATTCTTTTTACTGTCCACCAATGTAAGGGGCATTCTTCTTAGAAGGCCACCAATGTAAGGAGCATTCTTCTTACAGGCCACCAATGTAAGGAGCATTCTTCTTATAGGCCAGCAATGTAAGGAGCATTCTTCTTACTGGCCTCCAATGTAAGGATCATTCTTCTTACTGGCCACCAATGTAAGAAGCATTCTTCTTACTGGCCACCAATGTAAGGATCACTCTTCTTACTGGCCACCAATGTAAGGATCATTCTTCTTACTGGCCACCAATGTAAGGATCATTCTTCTTACTGGCCACCAATGTAAGGGGCATTATTCCCCGCTAATCTCCAATCAGTTTGGTTTTAGCAGGAGTTCCCCAAGACCTGATGATTATTTCTAGGGTTCCTCATGGGTAAAAAAGGCTAAGAAAGGTTGCCCTAGAGTAAACTGTGATGTCACCATACATCGACAGTACTCATGCCTAGCGATTGGCCACTAGACCCAAGTGCTGTCACACAGGAGGAGGTCACATACCTGGAAGCACCTGATATTTTTTAGCAGTTGAGGTAGACACAGGAGCAATAGAAGATTGCTGAATGGATGAATATCAGTAGATCAGTAGTGGATAATTACTAGACATATGCAGTTAATTTAGTTATTCGGACAAAATTTGCGTTATTTAGAGATTTGGATGTATCCGAATCTCCGAATCACAACAGTAACGCATTTCGACAAATCCAAAATAAATTATAATGAAAACAATGTATTCCTTTGGATGACATGATGTGATAGTTTGAGCTTTTTGTTAATGTTTGATATAATGAATGATCTGAGTTGAATCGGATCCATTTATTTTTATTCTAGTGAGCTTAGTGTAAACATTCTAATAAGTTCTTTTTGTATTGAGGTTGAATTTCAGGGACCATTCATTTAATTTGTATGTGAGCAGCCCAAAAAGTAAAGTCAGTTGTGAATAGGGAAATTAATTGAACTTAATAACAAAACATAGCCAATCTTCGGCAATAACAGAACTTCTGAAATGGAACAAATATATACTCTCCTGAAATAAAGAATAGTTCTGAAAATGGATCACTCTAACATAATGATTATGAAGAAACAAAATGATTTACTTAACAAGTGAAACGGAAATTAAATTAAACTATTTTTTCTGTCAGGCACATCTCTAATAATTCTTCTAATGAGAACCATTAATCTGGCCATACACCAGTATCATCATTATATAATGGTTAATGGGGTCAAAAACTTTGTTTTTGACCACAGTGACAAGAACATTTGAAGGAGAGGGATGGAATTTTCTCCTTGAATGAAAAAAGTTCCAACTGTAAATGTGGTTTTCATTTGGCAAAAATCAAATATATTGTAATAAAACCTGTTTATTACATCTGGGATTCTATTCAAGTAGCAGGTCTGGAAGAAATTTTAAGGTCTTTTGAACAAAATTAGTTGACTCAATGACGGAAGATTGAATGTTCTAGTGAATAATTTTCCTACCAATGTTTGAACAAAAATCTAACTACGTATGGCCACCTTCAAATCAATTCACTAACTATAATGATCAATATATGATATACACTCACTGGCCACTTTATTAGGTCCACCTTACTAGTACCAGGTTGGAGCGCCTTTTGCCTTCAGAACTGCCTTAATTCTTCATGGCAAAGATTGAACGAGGTGTTGGAAACATTCCTCAGAGATTCTGGTCCATATTGACATGAATTACTGTTGCCTTTCCATCATCTTGAACCAGTCTGCCCATTCCCCTCTGACCTGTGACATCCACACAACTGCCACTCACTGGATATTTTGTCTTTTTCGGACTATTCTCTGTAAACCCTAGAGATGGTTGTGTATGAAAATGCTAGTAGATCAGCATTTTTTAAATACTAAGACCATCCCGTCTGGCACCAGCAACCATGCCACGTTCAAAGTCACTTAAGTCCCCTTTCTTCCCCATTCTGATCCTTGGTTTGAACTTTAGCAAGTTGTCCTCACCAGGTCTAGATGCCTTAATGCATTGAAAGCTGCCATGTGATTGGCTGATAAGCAATTTGTGTTACCAAGCAATTGAACAGGTGTACCTAATAAAGTGGCCAGTGAATGTAATACTTATTTTTTCAGCAACAAGAGCTATAATTAACAATCACTTGGCTAAAAATAACAATCCTTATGGTCAGAGGTGTATTTAGGTTTTGTGCTGCCCTAGGCAACACAAAAATTTGTTCCCCCCCCCCTGCACTGAGAGACCCTGACACCAACCAACACCCCCCTTCCCCACGAAGGGAGCCTGACATTGACCGACAACACCCCAGCCCCCCCACCCAGGAGAGCCTTCCATTACCACAGCCTCCCATACAGTGGCAATCTCCCCCCACTCTGGTAAGAGAGAAGATACTCCCCTTCATAGTTCTGGACATCCCCGGGAAGAAGAGTCAGGCACTGCATACACCATTAAGCAGCCTGCAGCCTCTCTCAGATCCCACCTGGTCCCCATACTGTGTGTGTCCCATCTTCCATCCATTCATTTGGAGGGCGGCGCTGCCCCCCTAAAAAATGCTGCTGCCCCCTGAAAAATGCTGCCCTAGGCAAATGCCTTGTTTGCCTTGTGGTAAATACACCCCTGCTTAAGGTACATAACACATGCATTATAGCTTTGTAAATTATGTCTTTATTTCCTTCAAAGGCTCTACAGAATTTTAAATTGGGGGTGTTGAAATCACTAAATATAACGAAAAATATGCTTTCCCACTTTCCCTGCGGAATTGAGAAAAAAAGTCATTATGCCATTCCAAAAAAGCTGGCCATAGATGAGTGGTTTCCCTTTTATTCAGCCAGTAGGCTGAATGAAAAAAATAAACACATTCCTCCATTCACACAGATGAGGTAGATGGAGGAATCCTCTAG